TTCTTAAAAACCGAAAAAATCTCTTTGAAAACACAGTCCAGCATTGCATGCTAAATATTTTTCCATCGCGTTGAAACGCTTTCCGTAATCACTTAAGCTGATTAGAAACCGAATAAAAATCCATGCATTAACGTAAAAAGATATACGGATTAAATCGTATTAGCTAGTTAAAATTCTGAGGGTGCTAGGAAGTTCGGAAGGATGAAAAGATCCTGGAATCCGATTCTTGACCAATAGAGTAAATTGCGTGAATTCCACCGTTATTGAAAGCCCGACCGAAAATCACCTACCAAACGGTTTTGCGTTAGATTTTTGGTACTTAACGGATGTCCAAGGGTGATTCTAGCGTGAAGAACAAGCACGATGTAATTAGCCACTTGGTTCGCTAAATTCCACTTTCGGGATTTAAAAACTCTTGAAAGTATGAAAACACAGTAATTGGAGTTCCGATCGTTTTGGTCTATCATTGTTTATGAAGTTCCTTGGAAAAGGAAAGGCACCGAACACGGCCTCTCAAGATGGCGAGAAGCCAAAGCACGTTTATTGAAATATTGAGCATAGGAAGAATAAAATGAGCAGAAAGGGCCGAAATACAGTTTTCCCCCTGCAGCCTTTTTCAAATATATGTCGGGATTTGTCTTTCTCCTGAAATCGTCAATGGCGAGGTGAAAAACACGTATCCGGGACACAATAGGATTTTCTAAGCTGGTGGCTAGTAATCGTCCAAATCTCACTTACTCCGTAAAAAAAAAGTACTAATGCTTATTAGTGACTACTGTTTGGTAGCTTTTTGCGTGCCTGTCCACTAAGCTCAGTGTAGGGCTTTCTTCTCCGTATCAGCTACCCTTTGACTTCACCATTTCGGGCTTCTTGGGCTTTTTCTTTGGTTCACGAGTATCAGAAGACAGGAAATTTTGCTGCCTCGACTTTAACATATCCTATTCTGTTCAATACCGTTAATACAATAATATACAATATATACAATAATGATGGCGTTGGCAGGGTGACCGATCGACCGCTGGATACTCAAGGAGTAAAACTCTAGGTTAAGACTATTACATCTTAAAATAAGTTAAAGTTAATTTTTTTAAATTCATCGAGGTTGTTTATCAACCCTAAGAATACTCATTGCATCACGTGTCCTGAAAAATCGTCATTACATGTACAAATAGCGAGGGATGGTTGACCGAGTGAGATTTTGATATGATTCATTTCGGATTTTTTTCTTCGTTATTCTTCCTTAATTAATATTTTGATTTAATTCGGGTGTTGCTATCAAACTCAACGGCTTTCCGAGATAAAAGTGGGACAGTTGTGTATTGAGGTTGTTTATCAGTTCTCAGATGGGTCGAGGAGGGCTTTTTTAAAAGAACGCCAACTGGTTCCGCTCCTTTCCTTCCAATTATTATTATTATATACATTTTTTTAAGGAATAGTTTTGGAATTTTATTAGAAAAGAAGGTTCGAAGCAAAAATCGGCGGAATCGCTATTTTCTGTTCTGTTTGACACCAGATAAAAGCCTAACTAATAATAATAGTGTCTATTCTATACGGTAATATTATATAATTGTTAAGATAACAATAAATATAAATATATAAATGTATAAATATAAATAAATACTTATTTGTTATTAGTATTTCTTACCAGTAACAAATAAGTCCGATGTAATTTACAAAATCAATTGTATAATTTGTCCGGTTACTTATTATACTTTGGGTAAGAGGGCAAACGACATATGTATGATTGCAAAAAACCAGACGAAATCCTATAGCACTGGCTATGCACTATTTTGAACACCAACACAATTTCGACGATCTAAAAATAGTAAACATTTTAGCAAACAAAACAAACGTAACATATTAGAAATGGTTTACATCAACAGAGAAAAACAGCCTCAGTTACAGAACAGACACATGTAAATTCAGCCGCAGCTAGCTAATATCATAAATCAAATTTAATATCAATAATACATAACACACAAAACGTATAAAACAACGTATACAAACAATCATTACACTCCACACATCAAACAATTCAACATAGTCTACATGTCAACGATGTATCTCTCATTTCCATAATAATCCTGTCTATAATAATCCTGAAAGGCTAACCAGGCCCAAACGACAACCATTATCCCTTTTTCCTTATCGGTCCCTTTCACCTCAAAGAAGTCGACTCCTCGTAGAAAAATGAATTTCTATCCCTACTTCCTTCCCCACTTCTTCAAAATCAAACATATATAAACAAAAAGCATTAAAATCTCACTAACACTCTCAACACGACACACAATAGTGACACATCTACACAAAAAACACATACTTTGAATGAGTATAAATACTTTGATTAAACCTAAATTTTCTACATTGTGAACATCATTGTGTAAACTGGTATTCATATCTTGTATTTATTTGTATAATTTAAATAATGTTTATAAATCCGAGGCCCTGAAAATGATCTCAATAAATATTGAAACGTGGAAACGATAAAAAAAAAGTTTTTTCTGAACCTACATCACACCAGACCGCATCTCACGATCTCTAAATAATCATAGGGTTCAGTATATAAATAGGTGTGAATATTTGTTAAACTTCTCACATAATAAAAATAGATTCAAAGCATTTTCAATGTTTTCCTTAAAATTGACTTTACTGCTGAGTTTTAATATAAAATCATATTATTGAAGGCTGATATATTTGTAATTACATCGGAGATAATGAAAACATTATTCTGTTCTAACTTTGTCTTTAAGGCTAGGTCCTGTTGAGACCTGCTGAGTATTTTAGTCGGCAGACTTGAATTATCGAATTATCTATTCAAAGAAAACAATTGTTTTTGATTCACCATGAGTTGAAAGGATTTTTGCTTGCATAATGCAAACTATTACCATCATCACTTATTCTTACTTATCATTTGCCTTATGTTCATTTTTTTTTTTTTTTTTTTACTTATCCCTTAAAATAATACTATTTTTTATTTGGCCGTGCCAAATACTGCAATTTTCTTCTTCTTGAGTTTCTCAAACTTTATTTAGTAAAAATACACCAAACTAAATTTGTAAATATGAATATTTGAGGGGGGGTCGGTGGCCGCAACGGTTTAGGCGTTGACCCGTCCTCATGATTGTAAGGTAAAGGGGGCTGTTTTCAAAAACACCGGCAGCCTGAGGATTGATATAACGTTTGCCGTTGAGAAACTTCGTAAAAAATGAATTTAATACTTTTTTTAAAAGTAGGAAGAAACTATCTTCTGGTTCATTTACAAATCGACAAACGCCATGTTGGTCTATGTCTAAACTGAAAAATGTCTCCTTTATTTTCTAACACTTTTCATATAAGACAGAAAAAGCGTGGTGCCCATAGTAGAAAGTTTGTTTTAAATCGTAATTCAATTAATAACAAACTTTCCCCTCTAAGTGAGAGTAAATAACAAAACCGTCTACCTTGAGATGTGGAAACATGACAGCGTTGGTGAGGTTGTACTTGAAGGGCCACGTTATCTGGACATTGGGTTTTTACTCCGGCCGTGTCTGTGACAGATATTGTGCACAGGGCCCCGTTAACGCTCTTCCCACACAATTTACTCTTTCCTACTCGGCCGCTTACCAACAACAAATCACTTCACTGGATGGATTTCAGCCAATTTTCTCAAATTGGTGACAAAACCGACGTCTGAAGAATATTTCGATGAAAAAATTGAAAGTTGCCTATTTCAGAAGAACAACGGGCTGATTGAAAATATCACGTTAACTAATCTGAAGTAATTTTTCTAATTACTTCTTAGTTGCTTACCTAGTTTTTAGAAATGTATAATTGTCCATTTTGTTTAGTCGTCTGATTGACCAAACTACTTCTTTCAATTAATTATTCTTTGTATGTAAGATCTTGGCTGAAAAAAGTTGGTGTCACGAGCGGGACTCGAACACACGTCTTTCAGCTCAGTACTCATCTGCTCTGACCACTTGAGCTATCGTGACTTCGTGAAGTCTATCTCTATCTCTTTCTCTCACACTCATCGTCTTTCTGTCTCTGTCTTTGTCTTTAATTGAAAAGAAAACTTTCCTCATATAATCACATTTTCTTTCCCTCTGTCGATTTTTCTCTCTCCTTTCTCTCTCTTTAACTCTTTATCTCGAATTTAAACTTTCATTTGCCCACTTGCGTTGTCGACTGAAAGAGTCAAAGCTTGTACATTTACAAAGATTTTTAGTTGCAAGAGTTGAGATGAGACGGGGGAGCGTGAAAGAGTTAGTGAAGAGTGATATAGAGTGATAGGGACAGTGAAGAGTGATAGAGAGTGAGGAATATAGTTAAAGTGAATCTATTTCTATTAAACCTAGGGTGCCGCGTATGTGCGTTAACACGTTTAGTCTAATGTACGACAACGGCTCAGCCATTATGTTAAACCAGCATGACAGGTAGTACTTGCAAAACTAATGAACTGTGAGCCGTGAAATGTGCATAAATTTCTCTTTACATTGTATTAAATAAAACATTGAATTCTTTTGAATTTTGTATCTATTTTGATATAATATGGATAAATGACAGCTGTTAAAATGATTTTTCTCGTTTTTGTCGGGTTTCATGGATAGCACAAAAAGAAAGTCTCCGAAATTTCACCCGATATATTACATTGTAAACTTCCTTAAAGAGGAATAAAAACACTTAAAAATACAGTTAAAAAACCAAATTTATGAGTGCAGCCGTTATTTTAAGCCTTATTCATTATGCGTATAAAATAAAACAAGAGCCCAACCCTCTCGGAATGTATTGCGCTGTTCACCATTCTGCCGTTTAAAAACTTACTCTCCACGGCTTTTCCCGTTAGTTTACACGTTGAATTTAAAGCGCGTCTTTCGCTTGACTTTAAAATGAGAGCATCCCCCCCATGCAACAGACGAGAGACACTTAACTAAAATTAATATTTATTCCTGTCACACAAATTACAAGGGAAAAATACAAATGTTATTTTTTATTTATGTACTTTTTTTGTTGTGTTTCAGATCTTCCAGGATATGTATCATCTGGAGCACAAAAAAGTTGCGAAAAGATCGATACATACCAGCTTCGAATTCCACGATAAGCTCGTTTCTGAAAAAGACGTAAGTTAATTAATTTCAGTAAAATTTACAACATATTTGAAGGTTTGTTTAAAATTCAGATATTGACTTTTACAATTCTATTTATTATGAATTTCACTGGTTTAACGATTTTTACCATAAATACTCAATTAATTATACGCAATCTTTCATTTCGATAAAAGTTGTGTATAATTAATAGAGTATTTATATAATTAAGTAGAAGCTGATAAAATAATTTAAAATTTAGAATTTTTACCAATATTCATGCTATTATTATTATTATTATTATTATTATTAACTTTTAAGAGCGTTAGTTTTAAAAGTAATTTTTATTTTGGAAAATTTTGAAAAATTGAAAAAACAGATGACGATAAAAGAAAAAGAAAAACCTAAATAAATAAATCTTTCCCAACCCTGAAAACAGGTTTCTAGGGAGAATCAGTCCCCACACTTGCCAATAAGGAATCCGGGCTACAAACTAACACCCAGCAGACTTGTCTAATCGTCAAAATACTTAGCCAATTGAACTCACCTCACAGAAAACATTAGACTGACGAAGGGACGTCCTACCTACCACAACGCCCCACTAGCATGCACTTAGTGTATCAATTACCTCAAAATTTCCGTTTTTCCCGGAGCGGAAATTCTTGCTTGTTTCAAGTTTTATAGTCAGGTGATCTCTCGTACTGTTGTCTTTGTTTTTTGTGGTAGAAATAAAACATTTTTCAAACTAGAATCACTTTTGCAATTAAACCGTGTGCACTGCTTAAAGCTCTTAAACCACATCTTCAGATCTTAAAAAATTACAGGATTATTAGTTTTATTAGTTGTTTAACTATAAAATACTTTTTATTATGTTTACTAATTAATTTTTCTTAGCAATCTAAAAGATTTTCATTCTATAAAAATGGTTCGCTAATATTTTCCTTTTTTGGTTACCTCTGCTAATCTTCTACTTATGCAGACCCTTCCGAAGTAATTGGTTTCCTTTCCTCTTTGATCGCCCCGTGAATTTTTCCTAGAAAGCAATCGCAATTATTAAGTGCTTTGAGACGTTTTGTGGCAAGCTATTTACTTTTAAAACCCGTTGGTAAGAGCAAAGAAAGTAATTGTAAGTGAACTTGTTGTACCTTTGTTTTCGCCCCGAGGCTTGTCTTAAAGTTAGCAAAAATCAACCAAACGTAAAAATGGTCAAACCCGGCTACACTGTTTGCTCAACTCTGAAACTTTTATATTGTACAATATGTTCGCAACTCAAACTCGGATGAATATTACTTCAAAAGATATATCGTTCTTTTGAAACCACTGGTATAAAAGTTATTAAAAATGTTTATACCTTGTTTACTTATATCCTTCACTGGAATAAAAATACGTTTTTTTCTCTAAAAAAGTAAAAGAAGTATCACTTCACTAAACAGCTCCCCGTGGCCACTTTGTAAGTCGCTGAGAATCCTATCTTGATTACACGTTTGAATATGCCAAAAAGAGGGGAAATTCGAAAGGTAGAACACTGACCTTTTTGTTTTAACCAATACCTTACATTGGTAATTAATTAATTGAATTCAATAAATTAATTAATTGAAAGAAGATATTTGGTCAATCGGACCAAGAAATATAATGGATTTAATAAGTACAACGAAATATATCTTCACTAAAGCTCTCCGTGGTCATTTCATTTGTCACCGAGAATCGAATAGATTACACGACATTTAAAAAATGGCAAAAAGGAGGGAAAATTCGAAAGGTATGTTGAGATGGATGGAGAGTTGGTGTCCGAGAGGATCGAAGTCACAATATTCAAGTGGTAGAAGAGCGGTGTATTTAGCCAAAGGTCGTGGGTTCGAATCCCGCTCGTGACGCTGACTTTTTTTATCTCATCCAAGACCTTACATAGAAAGAATAATTAATTGAAATTTTAATCAAATTTGGTTCCAATTTTTTTTTCGGCTGTTGTCCTTCTATTGTTATGAAAGGCCGACTCAATCCCATCCTCATCTTCCACCCCTGCATACTTTTATACTATTAAATTGTTAATAAGAGAAGGTCGTCGTAGTTTGCAGTATTCAATGACGAGTTAATTATGCCGTAAATGCCTTCGGTATTTATTTAAAACAATTAATTAAGGTTTTTAGTTGAGATAAAAATGTCAATGGCACGAGCGGGATTCGAACCCACGATCTTCGGCTTGATACGCCGCAGCTCTACCACTTGAGCTATCGTGACCTCGATCCACTCGGACACCAACTTTCCATCTCAACCGCACCTTTTGTTGAGATGGGACGTTGACTTTTTTGTCTCAACTAAAAACCTTAATTAATTGTAATATATTAATTGGTCAATCGGACCACGAAATTAGTGAATTAATTAAAAATATGTCCACATTACAATCATTTTGCCATCCATTATCCGACCATGCCGTGCGTTTCAGTGTTTCAGCCGGAAATTCTGTCCAGTCGGCAAAAGTGTCAATACGAAATGTGATGAGGGCAGTGCCGTGGATCTGGAGCTTAATCCACCTGCCAACAACCCCTTTTATTTGCTCAAACATATGCCATTTTCATATTATCCCAGCTTGGGGATTTAATCCTATCTTTGCATCTTTTGAATCTGGTGACTTGCCATTTCAAAATTGACGTCGAAGTTTGTAAAATCGTGTATTAACATTTTTTTAAATGTTTTCCCCAATACGGTTTGTAATAAATAAAACCCTGCGGCCCTGTGAAGAACAAGTTGACTTTCTATAATGAAGTTCTCTTCCTTTATCTCGCTCACACTCCTCTTCTCTCTTCCTTTTGTTTGTTACGGCATAAGGTTCAAATTCAGCATCCAACTGATAGTTTGAGTTACTCCAACTTTAAATTTGTAAACTGTGTAAGTAACATGAGATGAACACCGTTTGAACTGAGAGTGGATCTGTTTGGTTGGCAAACAGTTACCACGACTGACTCAAGACATCCCCCTCTTGTAATAAATTAGACAAAAAGGATTTATCAAAAAATTTGCGAAGTTTAATGATAATTGTGTTGATAAATAGTTGCATAAATAAAAATCTTTCTTTTGTAAAGGTGCACACAATAAACATACAACTTTCTTGATTTTATGTCGTATTTAACATATCTCTTTACAAAATCATTCTTGGCTTAAATTAATCTGGGCTGGTGTAAGCAGAATTTTTTAAATTTTACTGTGTTTATAATTATAAATATTTATTCCCTAACTTCGAAAATTTCTTTCAAAAGTTTGCTGTTTCCGATTATTTGTCTGGCTATGCTTGGCTTGACAAAATGATCGGAAACGACTAAGATCCAACTTATTTCGTACATATCGTATCGTAAGCTAATTACCTGTACATAATGTTTCATGGTGCAAAGGTATTTTGAATCCTCAGGTTTAGGGAGCGTCGGTGGCCGCAACGATTTAGGCGTTGACACGGCGCTTATCACTGTAAGGTAAAGGTCTTGGGTTCGAATCCAGCGTCCTTGCATTTATATAGTGACATACTTACAAACTTTTACTTTTTCAAAAACACCGGAACCCTGAGGGTTTATATGACCTCTGCTGTAGCGAACTCTTGTAAAGAAAAAATCCTCAGGTTTAAGTTTGAATTGACAAGTTCTGTGATCATCGTTTTTCAAGACATAATCTTCCCTTGTAACATCTCACCTTTTTTTATCTTTTTCATATCCAGGATTTCATTTAAAAACCTTTATTTATATGATTTAAACACCCTCTTATAATAGCGGAAATAGAGGCATAATAAATTAGTTGTACCGAGTCTTAATTTGTCTTAACTTTAGTAATAATTAATTTTCATTTACTTTGTTTAATTATGATGATCCGTTATGTCCAAGGTAAATATCATTCTGTGCTTTAATTTAGTAAATACGTAACTTTATTACTTCAGGTTGTACATTTTTTGGAAGTGTTTTTAATCAAAATTAATTGACTTTCTGCTGGTTTCACCGTTTGTCTTCCGCAAGGATACATCTGTTTAAAATGAGTTTGTCAAATAATATCACAAAACAAAGTTTGCGGTCTATCAAAATTGATGAGGAGAGTTAACGTGTACGCTTCTATAGAAAATGTCATATTGCTCACAACAGTTAATCAACTCGTTGTTTCCCGTTTCCCCCAGTCTTGACAATTTAATAATAGAACAAGGTGAACCGGAGATTATTAGCTTTGGTCCTTCTTTTTTTCCTCTTTTGCACCGTTGGTAATTAATTTTTGTCAAACATTTGTTTAAATATGGTATTTCAATTGTTTTTCTTTTTTTAAGGTGAAATGGGCGAAGCAACAGCGTGCGAAAAGGCGGAGGAAAAGAGATTTTATGACGAGAAAAGAGCTCGGCTATGCTCCTTCGAATCACGTTTCCTCCAACGATCCGAAATGGCCGAAAATGTGGTATCTGGTAAGTAATATTTTTAATTGAGGTCAAACATGTTCACGTCCTTTTTTTAAAAATCCATTTCGAAATATCATTCGCCCAGGCCCATTTAAGGGTTCAATTGTTCTATAATTCCGAAGGAGTAAAACAAAATTGAAGGAAAGTTATTAAAAGAAAGACAATGGAAGTCTCAATTGCATCTTCAGGCCCAAAGGAGACAATGATTGTTTCACTAAGTTGCAAATTAATTAAATTGTCTTTTATATTCAAGGCAGCGTCGTTGTAAAAGAAATCTCCTTTCAAGCAAAACTTAGATTTAATTAATTATTTCAAAGGGTTGATATTAATTGGTCTTACTTATCAATAAGCCAGACAAAAAAAGTTTGTATTTAACATGCTCGATTATACTGGATATCCCACCAGATACGAATCACCCTCTTAATTTTTTTTTGCTTTTTGTCGTAGAAAACAAATTCCAAATGGTAACTGTACTTTATTTTCAATCCAGTATTTTTCTATGTTATTAGTTTTTTTAATTGTCCAGGATAACGCAGATATCGAGTTCAACTTGCTTATTTTAAATTGGAATATCTTTGTGTATCTAAAAACTAATATTTTTATATGAATCTTGGGTTTGGTTTCATATCTCAATCTCAATTCTCCCACTGAATTATGAATTTTTAAAAAATAAAACTGAAAATTGACTAGTATTATTTTTACTCTGAGAAATAAAATTATTATCTTTTTCAATTAATTAATCTTTATGTAAGATATTGGTTGAAATTAAAAGCTAGTGCCATGAGCGGGATTCGAACCCAAGACCTTCAGCTAAATACGCCGCTGCTCTACCACTTGAGCTATCGTGACTTCGATCCACTCGTACACCAACTTCCATCTCAACATCGACACCAACTTCCCATTTTCCCTCCTTTTTGCCATATTTTAAATTGTTGTGCAATCTAATCGATTCTCGGCGACAAATGAAATGGCCGCGGAGAGCTTTACACGTACACCAACTTCCCATCTCAGCCTACTTTTCGAATTTTCACTTCTTCTTGTCATCTTTCAAATGTCGTGTAATCAGGATTCGATTCTCGGCGACAAATGAAATGGCCAAGGAGAGCTTAATAAATTCTAAAGGTAGGTTGAGATAGGAAGTTTTTCCGTGCATTTCTTCAGAAATTAATTAAACAAATATTGACCAAGTTCTCATGTCCATTCAATTCTGACTATTTCAATAAGGCGTTCAAGCGGAATTGGTCGAGTGTTCTTTTTTCTAAGGTATAGGTCATTGAGCTTTAGTAAAGGAAACTATTAACTAATAATAGTTAATATATAATTTAGTTTATAATTTCATGAGTAGAACCATCCTTTACAATGTATCGACATACTCATTCCACCTCAATTATTTCTAGTAGGTCGTGACGGCCAAAATTGAAGTAAAGTGCGACAACGTAAATTGTAAAATCTGTCTGTTTTATTATAAAATTTTAAAACTTTAATACAGATTACTATCCGTCTGGCAACAATTCCGTGCTTTCTTTTAACATAAGATGTTCTTTTTAATTTTTCTTAGTCCCGTCCCAATTTTCTCAATTACATCGATTTCGGATTGTTGATTCTTTTTTTTTCTGTGGGACACCAAATAATTCTGTTTTTCTATTTTATACAAACGAGCTCAATTTTCTATTCTGAGCCAAATTCCCATCTCAGTCTATTTTCTCAGCCAGAATATTATCTGCTATGAGGAATGTTATTGTTTAAAATAGTTCTTTCCCGTCGAATCACTTTTCCTTGAGAAAAAAAGTCAAAAATTTCATACTAAATTCATAAATAGTTATTGCATTATTAATAATTAAATTAACAGTAATTGAGAAACAAATTAAATTTAAAATTTTGAGTTTAGAGTACAAACATTAGGATGGAAACTTTTTTAATGGGTTTCGTCAGGTTTTAAAGGGGTTTGATTAAACTCTACCAAATGTGCCATGAAGTAAGCAAGAAAAGAAGCGAGAAAAGAGAAATTTATCGCTGTAAAAATAATTAAACAAGGATTATTTTTATTACGGGCTAAAAAAAAATCTTACATTTACACCACCTGAGACTAGCATTATTTTCAATCCTTTTAATGTTCCCTACAGTACAAAGTGGTGGATTATTTCCAATATAATTTATATACTATTTCGGTAAATATTAAAACAATTCTATTGGATTTTCCCTTTTACCAGGGAAGTTTGAAGATTTAAAACATAATTTTTCGTAGTGTATTTTATCTTATTTTTTATCTTTTAGCTATATGTCATTTGAAATATGGTCGAGTTTGACATGCGCACGTATTTCAGCTGGCTGGAAACGGTTGAGGAATTTGGAAAATTAGTCCTCTAAGGTCCTAATTTTCCCCTGAGAGTAATTTCAGTTTAAAATGACGCATCCCCTCCGATATTGTGGCATTGATTATATTCCCATAATATCTGGCTATGAATTGGAAATATTTTATGTAAAAATATTTTACATGCCAACGCAGGCATATTGATATTATGTTTTCATTTTCCGTTCTTTACCACTGCATTGCCGATTCACTTCCGAGGAACGAGTCGTAATTGTTTTTTAAATTATATTTATTTGATATTTACAACTACAAACATTGTATTTTTGTAATTTTGATCAATTGATATTTTTTAGCGGGTTTTGATGGGTTCATGTATAAACAGGATATGTAGGTCATTATAGCATAATTTAAAATTAAATTCACTAATTTCGTGGTCCGCTTGACCAATTAATACATTACAATTAATTAAGGTTTTTAGTTGAGATGAAAAAAAAGTTAATGGCACGAGCGGGATTCGAACCCACGATCTTCTGCTAAATACGCCGCTGCTCTACCACTTGAGCTATCGTGACCTCGATCCACTCGGACATCAACTTCCTATCTCAACCCCAAATGGCTCGTGCCATTAACTTTTTTTCATCTCAACTAAAAACCTTAATTAATTGTAATAATTTAAAATGTTATAAATTATTAAACGATCAAAATTAGGCATTGAAAACGAACTTTTAATACATGCGAAATGTAGGGCTCAACTAAGGATTCCAATTCTCAACGTCTCCAATCACTCCAGTCTAAAATTCTCTGTCAAATTATAAAATGCAAAAACATAAAAAAAAAGAACAGATAATATAAAAAGCAAGACTGCTCTATTGTCTTCTCAAAAGCATTCGCCGACTAGCGATCGAACTTAGCTGCTTGAGAATGGTTTATAATCTTTCTACACACGGTTATTCAATCTGTAAAAAATCTTAATGTCTCATAATCGAAGAAGGGTCATTCCTTGGGAAATATCATGAAACATCACATGAAAACAATTCTTCGACACCAAAGTGGCTTATTGTGTCCTCTGTCCCGCTAGATGTGCCAAGGGTGTGTCACCCTCCAGAGTTTTGTTGTTTCTGGCTATAGCTTGCGGGGGAATAGAATGAGTGTGAAAGAATTCTCGAAACGTGACAATGTAGGGTCGGTGGAGGAGCTTTTAAGCCCCATACTTATTCGTTTATGTCAGTTTTCCACGTTTGATGTTATGTCTGAAAGATTAACTGAAATTCCTCCGAAAACTCAATTTTCTCTTGAACGGTTGAACGTGAAATTATTTAACAACCTTATGGAATGTATATATCACTTTGTATACATACTTTCAACCAATCATTCCTGCAATTCTTTAATTTATTGGCGCTCATTTCATTTTCATTCAGTACAAAAGTTTAATTTGAAGGCTCTGGCTTCCAAGAATCAAATGATCGAAATATTTCTCTGTCATCCATGCCACACACCCTTTACGACATCAACCCATCAAAACTATCAAGAAAATAAACGCAAATGAAATAGCGAACAAAATGGAGAAGCTGGATGAAAAATTGAGCATAAGCTGCGCTTACTCAGTTCAATTAATCGCTCATTTATTTTTCCAACACGGTGTGATGACCAACATCATGATTTGGGTTTGAGACTGGGAGTCGATCGAAAATTACATGTGTGTGTGTGTGTGTGTGTGTGTGTGTGTGTGTGTGTTTGCTGTGATGATAAGAGAGGATTTGACACGATGGGGCTGTCTGGGTTGTCAGTGAATCAAGAGAAGACTGATCTGATTAAAAGTTTTCTGAATTAATATATATATAAAAATAATCGGTGTTATGGCTATTACAATAGATTAGTTGAACTGTGAATCTATTGGGTCTTAAAGTACTTATATAGTATAAGTTTTAAAATGGATCCTTATTAAGTCCAAAACGCAACAATACTCCATGAATGAGGCATGCCTAGAGATTCATAAAAGGGCCTTCTGAACTTGCAAATGATTTACTGGAAGGCAACCACAACCGAACCGAGATTCTGGTTAGACTTCTGACCGAGCACTACCACCTAAGTAGGTATATGCACCTGATAGGAGTAAAGTTAGAAGAAACACTGTACAGATACTGCCAGGAAGAGGAGACCGCGGAACTCATGGTATGTTTTCGTAAAGGTCTTAGTAGGTGCAGATTCTTGTGTAGTAGGTGCAGAAACAAGGCCATGGGTGTCAAGCCATTGACAACCTGAAGGCCGAGGTGCAGAAGGCCTTGTTTTGTGGCCACCTCTTCTATCACTATACCTATCCCTTGGGATGAGTAGTACGGATGAGTGAATAATTATGAGGGGTTGAAAAGATTGAAAGGATTACCCTAGACAAATAATGATATTCCTTATTTAGTTAGCCAATTTTAATTATTGAAGATTACCTGTGGGCTTTTGGTCATCAGACTCTTGGCTCGTATAAACCTGTGTTGTTAGCTCATATGCAAAACAGAAATCCATAAAAACTTTTTAATAACCAACCAAAAATTAGAAAATCAGTGGTAGGAAAAATAATTTGATGTGTGCAGCAATTACCACTTAACGTGAAATTCGTGGAGTATCCTTTTTCCCTTACTCTAATTGAAACTGAACACTAGGTTCTTGTTTTTATTTTTACGGGATGCCCTTTATTGCGCAC